CGGGTAGTAACAGTAAGCATCTGTGTCACATCAAATGTAGTCGTCACAGCCATTAACCAAACCTCTAATACTTTAATAACAATTTCTTTCACATGTGAAAACTTTTTGACACATTTTTATTAAGAGCCACTTTTAAATTGCATCTTGTCCTTTCCATTTGTTCTGCTGTGAGCACCTGAGTCCAGGAATGTATGTTTAAAGAAACCAGAGTGACAAAACCAAACTATAAACATCCTGCATTTATAGCATTTGAAAAAAAAAAACCTAATTCTACTTTCATTTAATCTTCACTACCGCATAGGCATTATAATACAGTGCCAGTCTGAAAGCATGCAGCTGAAAAATCAAGCAGAGGTGATGTGACACTGCTCATTACTCATTTACCAGCTGCTGCTTAACACTGCTCCATGTAGCTGCTCTGACTGATCAGCTTGGGTGAAGCAGCGGTGGAATAATAGTTTTCGTCTGAACTTCAGCTGCGGCTTTGCTTTCCTTTGGTCTTTGGTGCTCTGGAGATTTACAGATGTCCGTGTTTAACCAACGGGACCTCAATGTTGTATTTTCTTTTACTCGTCGGGCGCATGAACAGATGTGACTGGACACACAGCCAGTGCGACCACACATAGCTGCTGCATGTAGTCATTGACACCCATTAAAAACGAATGTCACAGCCAGAATCATAACAAGTAAAGCTCTGTCGTGGCTACAATCGCAGTGACAGCTGTGTCAACCCCATGCCTGCAGTCATGATCACAGCCACAGCCTGTCCAAGCTGTGGTTAGGGATGAAGCTCCTCTAGTTTCCTTCTAACTAAAGTGTAACAATAACCAGCAAGATGCTTTAAATCCAAGCAGGTACAGGTTAGTCTTTAGTTTTTGTGGAACAATTATACTGAACAAAGGATTCGATGAGGTAAGATAAACGCAGATTTTCCATGATGTCGCCTTAAGCACAAAAAACTTCAAATTTAGCTTCAGAGATTCATTCTTCTTTGAAGGGTTTTTTAATAACAATAAATATTGACATGTTTTTTTATTTTTGTTTTTTTTATAGCTTTGAGGGATTTAAGTTGCTGTATATAGCTTGTGCACTAAAGAAAAGAATAGATCACTTTTTGTTGCTGTTTCATGTCATGAGCACTGAGATGTCCAACGGCTTCCAGTTTCATTACCTTAAAGAATTCAGCATAACATTTTATAAACAGTGTTTTCAAGGTTAGTATTTTCATTCCAGGACTCGTTTTTTTTCTATAGGAAAATGCAATCTTAATACAAATGAGTATCTTGCAATAGCTGTAACAACCTATCCTTGAAAAACAACTCCCACCCGTCTCTCCCATCCCTCTCAAGCTTGGTAAAATCTGTGAGAATGCTTCAAATCAAACTTTAAACCTTTTTAAGACAAAGAACAGTTGGAAACGTCAATTTCTCAAATCCGTCTGCAGCAGCCTGAGCTCAGACCGAGTGGATTATTAAAGCTGACAGCACCAACTAGAACATAGAGGGCCATCACTGCCTTCCATCATCCTGGCGGCAACCAAACATGTTAATGTGATGTTTAAATGAGCGTCATGATGCTTTTCTGTTGCAGCTTGTGACGGCAGTCTTAATATGTCAGACACAGCCTCGGCTTCATCGCAACACAAGTCAGCATCGAATACTGTCATTTTAATGGATGGGCTCTCTCCCTGAGTTGGATTTAAATCCTTAAGGATCAGCTGTTTGGAAACAAATTACAGATATGAAGCAAATAAAAGGTTAATCCCAGTGTTCTCAGAGTTTCTTTGTACAGCTGACAAAAAAACAATAAAAAAAACTGCTGTGTATTTGCTATGAAGTTATTGATTATGTGGACATTGCCAGCTTTTTTATTAAGCTACTGTAGTTAATTAACCAAGGCATCTTTAGTTTGATTTACTGACAGAAGATGTGTCTACGTCTGTAACTAGTGGAAAGTGATGTTTCACACACATTTTATTTTCTGACACTAAACTAATTTTAAAAGTTTTTTTGTCAGAGTTTCACTGCCTTCTGTCATTTTATGATTACATAGTATATGTGTCTCCTTGAACGATTGTAAGCCAGCCTTAATTTTGCACAGTTTAAATATGGAAGACTTGTGCCAAAAAAGTGCTGGACCAGTATATCCTATCAAGTACCAAAGATGAAAGTCAGCCAAGTCACTGTGATTTAGATGAAGTTGGCTCTCAATAGCGCTTTCATTTTGCGTCTATCTACATTTACATGGTTAAGTGTTCGGCCGTGATGCGGTTACTTAAAGCTGTTTTTTGTGAGTTGATCTGTGTAAGGCGCATCAGAAGAAATCAGAGCTGACATGTGCTGCCCTTTTGAACTTTTTCATATTTTACCACTTTAAAACTGTGGGCTTAAATATACTTTATACAGTTTCATGTTACACCGACACTAAGTAGTGCTTAACAGTGGCGTTTAGCCATCTTTTACAGTAAAGGGGCGTTCCAAAATAGATTTTAGACAGTATAGGATCCAGTATTTTCTTTTTTATTTATCGTTGCTTTTTTTTTGTTGGGCTTTCAAGAAAATAAATAGTAAAAAACCATCATAAAATATGAGTCATCCAGCTAAACCATCAATTGCATAGTTTTTATAAGGCAATTCTCATGTACCTTAAAAATAAAAAAGTATTACTGATTTTCTTTTATGCTAATTTCATTTCAATCTCAAAAACTCACAGGTAAAAAAAACAATTAGAAGAATTTTATTGATACCATTATTTTAAGACTTTGATAGTCAGACCTCGGCAGGAAACATTAGCGCTGAATTTTACTTTAATATGCATAAGCAGGTGTTTGAGAACAGGGATGATTCCCCACAGGCCGGAAACTGGTGGTGGAGTGGAGATAGAGGAAGTTGGTTCAGTCCATAGACTGCTGGTTGGTGAGACGGTCTGCTTGAGCTGAATTAATGAGATCCAGTAGACTGTGGGAGCTGATAATACTGCTTTACTCAGGACCAGGAAGATAGGTGTCCAGTATGGTTAAACACAGGTATGTATGAACCTGTACATGATGTGCAAGCATGAAGCAACAGTGGAGAGGAAAAACTCCCCTTTGGGAAGAAACCTCTGGCAGGACCAGGCAGTCATCTGCCGGACCCATGAGATGTTACGGGGAATGAAGTAAGAGTCCAGGAGGAATTACAGTCTGATATGGACGAAGTTGAAGAAGCATCATGGAAAAGCCAGATGGAGCTTAGCTACGATGATGGAGAAAGGGATGGAGGTGGGTTGAATCGGAGGTCATCTGAGTGAAAATCAGAAAAAGCAACCACTGCTTGCGCATTGGCTAGGTAGCAGGCTGAGTCGTGGATTTGAGGACCTTTTAAGAGGAACTCTGGATGCTGATTGGGCTTTTTGGATGTGATCGAGTGCTGTCGGAGGCTGATGAGCCTCTGATGGATGAGGGTAAGTAATTTAGTTTCTTCAGTTGAACTTCCACCTAGGCTTCATTTCACAAAATGGATGACTTTAATTAATTCAAGCAACTTCTTAAATGTATCTAACTCAAGTTTTTATGTTTCTCATGATCTATTTCCATCATGGTATATACATATTTAATCTATTATGAGGACAACAGGTTAAAGTAGTGTAATCTTTTAATGTAATTCAAGATAATTTCTCATTATTGATATAATAAGAGGGTGGAAACTAGAGTAACAGGGTTACACAGAGCAAAATGTTGAAGGAACTAATTTTATTTTATTGTAAATTATGACATAAGTGTGACAAAGAAATACTCAATCACAGTATTGTTGGGTAAAATATTTGATATATTTTCCTTCTTAAAGGCATAAATAAGATGGCTCATATAAAACATTGAACTTGGCAAAAGGAGCACAATTTAGATCTGCCCAATAGTACAGTAGACACATTTAAAAAAGTAAATAACAATGGCCAGAAAACTTTAATAAAATAAATGGCAATGATTTTTAAACATTATATAAAGAAATATATTATGGCTTATAGGGTGTCTTTTCTAAAAAAGGATGGAACCCTTTCACTGTAGAGCAATCCTGTTACACTCATTAAGGTTACAGGGTTGTAACTGATCAATATCAAACCTCTCTACAGAATAGATAAACACTATGATTGCAAAATATTTTTATATGATTCCCTGAGTAACAGAGCTGCATTGCTTCGAGTGATCCACTCCATTATGGTTAAAAACACTATTCAGTTTTACAGTGTCTTTTCTTTTAGCTGATCTTTTCGTCCAAAAGGTTTTGGAGGTAGGGTTAGGTGCATGTTGGGAGACATAGCTGTAAAGCATAATAACTACCATGTGGAGTATATCTGTGGTACAATTAAATTATTTAATAGTTACAAGAAAGATAAGGTCTTATTTTATCTCCTATAGTTAATTTGTAACTTGGTCATCATACGGGAGGCAACGAAAACAAAAAGCTATTATAGTGGGTGGTCAAAAGTTGCATTTAAGGATCACATTTACTAGAGCTACCGTTATATTATGTGTCAGGCCAACTGACATTTACATAGGAGATGCGTCTTTTCATTTTTTGTTCATAGTTTATTTAAAATGTTGAGATAAAATCTGGAATGACCCGAAGATGAAACAGCTGTGGACATGAGTCATCTTATTGCTGAACAGAAACCCCCCTCTGTGTAAGTTACAGCTGTTTTCTAAAGCTTTACAGGTTTGCTAGAGAAAAATAATGAATAAACGAACTGGGAAGAAAAAGCAATCGTTACGAAGACCCGGAGAGGAGCCGTCCATGAAGGCACTCCACCATTGTGTAGCAGACAAGGAAAGAGCACCCAGCACAAAGGCACAACAATTTCTCATCCATATCCAGACTGCAGTAACATGTGGCTCCAGGATTGGCTTTTTCACACAGTCTAAAGTCCAAGATGGAGGACAGTCGTACTTGACTTCAAGTGATCGCCGATGATTAAATTGAATTTATTTGATTTTCTTTTATTATCATTGTATAAAGCACAAAAAAAAATGTCCAGAACACCCATCCAGGAAACACAGTTTGGACAGTTGCCTGACACTGCAGCCATTGAAGGATGGGTTAGAAGGTAAGTTAGAAAAGTTAATTTTCAAACACAGGGGGGAAGATAAGGATTTAAAACATGAGGAAACAAGGCATCAGTGGAAAAAACAAAATTATTTTAAGGAAACCATAAGAAGTCTTGTGTGCAGTTTTCCTGCAGAGGAAATATTAATCAAATTAAATAAGTTATTTTGAAAAAGCTTCACATTTTGACCCTTATGCGAAACATAGTAGAAAACCAATGCTGACCATAGCGCCTCCAAGGCAAAACACACAAGTGGCGGTATCATGATATGGGGTTTCTTTTCTTTGCTTGGCACAGATAAGCTGATCATTCTTGACATAGTTATATTTTATTTAAGACCATCAGAGTAAGAGAGACTGGACAAATATACATGCCATACTGTAGAAATTTAAACTCGAAAAACCCTTCCTTGCACTTGAGCAGATGACATTAGGGTGTAAATCAGTTCAGAATACCACATCATTTTACAGTAACACACTGTGTCGTGTGAGCCTCCACTGAACTTCCTCATCAGCAATACATCCCAGAGAAATTCTACATTAGCAGCTCCAGAAGGTTGTAAATTAGAAATGAAGGCGCATGTTGTAGCACGGATCCACGGACTTGCACTACAGCTCTCTGAGGCCACACAAACCACAGTTTCAATTCTTCAAATAAATCCTTGTGCGGCTAGGCTGGCCATAAAGCAGTTATTCACAGCAGCAAAATCAGAAAAAGAGACTCTCATGATGGCTACATCTCTTCTTCTTCTTCTTCTCCCCTCTGCCTGTCCCAAAAGCCCCAGAGAGCATCTCAGCAGACAAAACGGAGCTGTCAGCAGACGTTAAAGGTACACCTCTGTATTTCTTTTGCTCTTTCTTTCTTTTCTTTTAACTTTCACAATATTTTCATATGTAGACAGACAGATTGATAGAAGAACAAACCCCATCTCTCAGTTCATCACATATTATGCTTCATAAGCCCCGCATTCCTCTGGTTTGTATGGCACTGAAGCAATCTGATCCATTTTAAATTTGGCCTCACGCTGATTGGTATGTCAACACAGGCTTGATTTCAACTGCCTGCTCAAATGTGACTGTGTTTGTTGTGCCGCCCATTCAAATCCAGCCGAGATCTGATGCAGAGGTGGGAGCAGGCTCATCAGATTTGAGCAGGCATTGTAAATCCAGCCTGTGTTGACTGACACACCAATCAGCCGTGAACAGAGCCCAGAGCCTGTGTTTGAGGCGAAAAACGCTATCTGTGCCTTCAAAGATGACGTCTTTATTTTGTTCTTGCTTTATCTTATTTATTTATTTATCACTGTGTGAACACAGGAAATGATGTGATCTGTTTTTCTTTTTTATTTTGGAAACACTTTAAAAAGAGCACAAATATCACACGTTGGAGACTGAAATGAAGGATTTGATCCGGCAGATAAGATGAAGAGGCAGCCGGGTTTTAAGAGAGCTCTCTGGAGGATTTGGAGCTGTTCGCTGGGTGGGTGGGGAGGTGACAGCCTGAGAAGGGCCAAAGCCACAATCAAATGACTGCAATTAACAGAGGAAGCATAGGAGACTAGTGCCCCCAAGTGTTCACTTGCTGTATAAATATAAACTTAACAGTCTGGGTGAAATTACCTGGAATGAATCCTTTTTTTCTTTTCTGTTTTGTACCATACACTCTGAGTTTGGCACTAAAATGCTCTGAAATCCACAATTTAATTGTTAAGATATTTTAGAGTAATTCATATGAGTCTGTCACACCTCTTAATGTGAAATCATGAGCTGAGCTGCTCAGTGTTCAGGCTTGGGATTTACGTGAATGTAATTTAGTTATATTTCCTTGAACATTTGTTTCTTTATGTCTTTTAAACTGTGTAATCGACTGTAATACACAGTTTTATAGAAAATAGGTTCGTGGTTGGCTGCTTCTGATTCGTGGATTGATTCCTCAATATAACCCTTTTAGTGGCAATTCTCCATGAAGTACCACTAAGACTGTATTGACCTACATTATTTCATGTATTTCTGGCGCTTTCAATAGGTCTTTAGCTTTTCTTTCCTCCTGATGTGACCCAGCAGCTAACATCCTTTAGAATAGACAAGCCTGATAGCATACATTTTACATCCATCTCTTCGTCGGTGGATAGTTTGCACCGGCGGACTGCTATCAATAGGTAACCAAGGTTAACCATGAAGGCCAGAGGACTCAAAGGATTTCAAAGGCAGTCATTGTTCTTTTTTCCTTTCCGTTTGTGCTAGAAAGCAGGGAAGTTACAGACTTATCTCAGACAGCAGGCCTACAGTGTCCTATTAAAGGAGATTGAATTTCAAAACATACCTTTATTAAAACAGGCATAGGTGATGCAAATGAAATTATTCTAAAGGTCGAAGTGATTCAGTGTTGGTTAGGAAAAAAAAAAAGAAAGGTTTAATTAATTCTGGCCCAGTGTCAGCTGTCTTCATCTGAATATCCCGTTAGGTTTAATGTTGGGCCCATCCATTCCCTGAGGAGCTAAAGTCCAGTCTCTGTGGGTACCAGCTGATAGCAGGTAGACTTTGCCCTAAAGCGAAACCGCTGCTAAATGGTCTCCACAGCAGAGGTAAGGCGAAACATAATGAACTCCTGTTGTAATTAGCTTATTTCAATAAATAGCCTTAATTAAACACCTTTCTGCCGACCTTAAATATATAAAGAGCTCTTTGTGCCTTATGATGGAGGGAATAATAATTGCTTTACAGTTTTCGACACAAGCTAAAACAAAGTCAGCTTTATGTCTGATCTTGTGGTTTCTCTTCACAGTAGATGTATCCGACTGGTAATGCCTGAATAGGGAACAGAACATGATTTTATTTGATGGATAATTCTTTATAACTGCAATAGATGAATTACGTGTTATGAAGATAATTAATGTTGGTTTTTATATCAGAGTGGATTTATTTGCTTTAAAATATTTCAATGTGCTCTCTTGCCAATATTATTTTTACCGCAGCTTTTCATTGTCACTGTATTTATCACCTTATTAAATGATTGACAAAGAAATACCATCTTGAACAAGTTAGTGTTGTTTTTTTATTTCTTTTCTGCACATAGAACAGAAATGTAAGTTGTTTTTGCCTAATCTTTTTATGTGTGCGTGTCTGTCATAATGACAGCTGGATATCCTTTGAGATCAATTAACCACATTCTATCTGGCCAATAAAAAATACATACAGCTCTATTAAGTTAAGGGGTTTAAGGCCATAATTATGGATGTTAGTCATGGCTGGCTGTGTGTTTGTGCAATGCATCATTTTGTAATTACCCATTTATTTGTTCCCTGCTGACAGTGCCCCATTTGCCAGTTTAACATCACTGATGAAACCCCTGATACTCTCCAAAAAGATGCCTCTGGGCCTCAGCTATCACCTTAATTCGCTGCCATGTGCATTATATCTTCTCTTGTCAGTTTTGTGCTTAGGTTGATGGAAAGATTCGGTTATGTTCAGTGAAATGGACCAGACGAATGGCAACACTGCAGGGAGATTTGAACGTCACCCTCATCCCTACAGCCCTCCAAACTATGAAAGAAATCCCTACACTGGGATGACATACGAGGTTAGTGACACTGGCATACTTAAAGTCTTCTCGTAAAACAAGACACTCTAAAGTATAATTTACTAAAAAATATATGTCTCAATAAAACATAACAAAGTCAGTATTATGACATTTTCATAAAACATTTAATCCAGGTAAGAACCATTAAGAAATACAAAAAAATAATTTATCATATTTCCCTTAGCAAAACATTTCTCTAAAATTGCCGATCTTTAAAAGTTACAGTGTCAAGGCTCAGAACAGAGGACCCAGTATTCAAGGCAAGGAAGACGATTACTTAACAGTAACAGTACAATTACTCAAAAGAGAGTTTATTTAAAAACAACTCTGCAGTAACAGCAGATAAAGCAGGAACCTCTAGAGAAAGGAAACACAGGTTAGTGACCACGTAAATCCGGCGGGGCAAGACTATGTATGTGAGTCACTAACCTCGTTTAATAGCTCAGTCTGTGCCCAGAGAACGTGGTTGATGCCAGCATGACAACAAAACACGGCTGACAAAGCTCATTGAGTCCCAGATGCTGTAGCCCTGGAGGATGGAATACAAGCAGGAGATCAGATCCTCGCAGATGAAGAAGGCAGGATAATCCAGAGGGAAATGCCAGTGGCGAAAAAGTGCTCAGGGTACAGAAACAGGAGATAAGATGTCTAAAGAGGTTACGAAGGGAAATCCAGGTCGGTGACAGGAAACAGCTCCAAATTCAACAAACAGGCAGAATCCAGCAGGAGTCAGCAGACAGGTCAGGCAAACAGATCAGATGGGGACAGACATGCTCAGTGGTAACACTAAGGTAACACTGAAAACACTCTCACCACTGGCTTGAGAATAATCTGCTACTGATGACTGGGTGGAGTTAGATAGGTGAATGAAATGAGTAATTAAGCCAAGGTCATGACCAATATCATGACATCAGTTTGTGTATTGTATGGCACGTCCAAATATGTTTCTGTTAACATCCGACTGACTTTATAGGTTGGAAATGGGAACATTGCGATCGTCTCTCGTCCTGCCTCCTACGGCAACATGGTCCCTCCTCAGGAACCACCCCCATATGGAGGCAACCAGTACTACAGTCAGGATCCACCTGTGTATTCCCAGGAATCTGAGGAGAACCCCTTCAGTGTCGCTGGAATACGGAGAGGTGAGGGCTAAAGAAAGAGAAAGTCATGTTTTTATTATGCTCAAGGTTATAAGTGGATAACTATAACTATATATATATCTTGAACTAAAACCATTCACTTTGATCTGTGCCTTTTGTACCCTCAGCTCTCTTTACCCCCAATTCATCACTAATGTCTTTAGATGATTGGATTAGAAGCAGCTTTACTGAAAACAGAATTTGCATTGCTAAAATAAAAGGTATTTAAAAAAGCATCTTAGGTCGTAAAAACAACAACAATTAAGTTTTGAGTCGTGCTCCCTGTAGAGGCTCTTTTGAAAATAGCACTGTTGTAAACACTGAAGATGCATATCATGACCAAATGTCAAGAGAAGTGGGTAGTTTTTTCCATCGTTTAATATAAGCTAGTGCAGCAGCATTTTTACAGCAACTTGTTACTTATGTAGAATTCAGTTAAATTAATTTCTGCCCGCTAAGTAAACCATGTTTCATCCGCTCTCATAGGGTGAGTCAGACACTCAATGTTTGATAGTGGCATGTTAAAACATAGCACTCTATATTCACAACATTACAAATAACAGAAGTTAGTACTGTAGATGTGGTAGTTACAAGTCCAATAACAGCAATGTCTGATCTGAAACGGTTTTACGTTTGTTTTTTTTCGGGGGGGGGGTTTTATCAGGAGCAACAGTACATCCAAAAACCACATGTCGGATCCAAACTGACCCCTAAACACTCACTCTAAGCTCAAACCTTCCTTTTGTGCATTCCTGCAGAGGATCCGCCATATTAGGACAATCCTGAACAAAGAAGTGGTTAGAGTGAGAAGCTCTTTCAGCCCTCAAAAAGCAAGTCTGCAACAGCGAATAAACCAAAGAAAAATCACCAGTTTGGAAGAAGAAAAAGACGTGATGAATTCCAAAATGGGATATCCTCCGTGAAATACAGTAGTTATTTATTTTGGTTGTACAAATGTATATGTAAGAAAGTAGCAAAAGTTTAATTTCATCTCAACCTGCACCACAGCACTATAGCAATGCACAGTGTGGCCGGATGCCGACCAGCCCCTAAGCATTAACCCTTAGCACTAATCCTCTGTTTGTGCGTCCACCACATTAAGTGCCATCGCAAACCTCTCCCATAACAGTGTTCATCTTACTTAGAGAACGAGAACAGAACAATAAGACTCCCGCTGGGTCAATGGCATACAAACTTGAAAATGTGGTTTTCCGACCAGAGCCAGTAGGGTGAGATTTCAGACCATTTACTTTGATTGCCATCACAGGGACTTAGAAGAGGATATATAAAGTACTTAGTGCTGCTGTAAGAGTGCTCATAATCTGAGAAAATGTTAGGAATAGAGAGGAGGACTTTCAGGGAACCTAAAGTAGAGAAGATACCAGAAACAGAGACCTGTTTAATTGATGCACATGGGGTAAAGGTAAAGCTTTATAACTCTTTTATTCCTGTCAGTATTGAGATAAGATTAAAGATATCATCTCCTTAGATGGATATCAAATAGTTTCACCAGCCTTAACGGTTCACTTTACTCATTAATTCGTTTTTTGTATTTTTATATATATATATATATATATATATACATATATATATATATATATATATATATTTTTTTTTTTTTTTTTTTTTTGAATAATCACAAGTAAAAAGTGAAAAATTGCAAAAAAATTAGCAGAATGTAGAATGTTTTCAAACACTAATATTTGAAGAGTAATTGAAAAAGTTAAAGAAAAGATAAACATATAAATACATTCTAGACTAAATATAGTACAATAACATACAGCTCTATTATGTATATTATAGTATGTACATGACCCTGTCAGCAGTCATATTCCAAATGGTTATCTAGAAATTCTTGGTGCCATGATCTCCTCTCTGATTTTTGATTGCAGCATACTCTGTCTGACATTCCTGGCTGATGAAATCAGAGAGAATGACGCATTAATCTGCTTGGCAATATGCTTCAAAGTCTGACTCTTTGTTCATACTGTGATACCAGTGGACCAAATATACCTTTCAGAGCTCCTTTATTCTCCTCCCAGAGATTTGCCACTAACAGGCGCGGTTCCTCTGTCCGGTTCAGTTATCTCAATTTGTCCCAAACAAACCGCTTTATAAGCAGGCAATAACAGTAATAGGCCTACGGGTGAGTGTCCATTAAACCTAAATAGAGGAAGTAAAATGACTACATAACACATAACAAACAGTTAAATTTAAATGTGAAGATGTAAATAACATGTATTCAAACATTTGGATACTGTGTGACCATCAATTGTATTGTCTATTATTTATTACTCTATCTAATTATCTATTATTCTATCTAAGTTTCACCATCATGACACACATTTTGTAAGCCAGTCTTTTATATTTGATTGTTTTATTTTCACTCCATCCATCACTCCCAGGGCTTTTTGTTTTTTCTTCAGTGTCACACCTAGCAATGGAGCCAACTAACATAAACATTTTTATCACCTTACTTTCAGTCACTCCCAACCGCTAACTAAATCACTCTTAAGACTAAAACTCCTTATCAAGAACTGTTTGATTAACTTAGGAATTTTTTGGGAGGAATATTTTTTAATTTGGGGCAATTTTTCAACAACAAAAAAAGCAATCTGCACCAACATCAAATTTGCCATGATGCTTCTCTTTGGAAAACTCTCTGTGTTGTGTTAAATTGTGGTGTTTTTCCTTGCTATATTTCTCCATCCCTTTTTTTTCCTGACATTCCACAGGTTTTATTCTGAAAGTCTACCTGACCCTGATGATTCAGTTGCTGTGTACTGTTGGGATTATCTGCACCTTTATTTACTGGTGAGACACCGACTCTTAAATTCTCTGAAGCCATTTCACAAGCCTTAATATCCAAACTCCTGACATGTGACTTGTCTGTGTATGAAAGTACACCTGAAAAAGTAGAAGTTGGGGAATTCCCACTATGGGTACCGCTGGTCGATAAAGTATTTACCCTCATCGGCATTGTTTATGTTTTGTTGCCTGATATCTCCTTTTTTCAAGCCTGTGTAGACCCAAAATGAGACCTGAAACTTGTGTACATCACTTTTCACCCAGAGTTTGTGATTTATCAAAATGTATCAAAATATAATTTTTAATTTGTAGTTATAGATAAATGATTGTATATGGGCTAAAAATGGCTGTGGCTTGATGCAGTAATTTATTACAGATCCTGATTTAGTGAAGAGTGTTTATGTTTTAGACTGCATTAGTTGGAACCATATGTGTTTTATGTAACACAGGCAGTGGAAAGCGTTGGGCATGGCATTCAGCTTCTGCCTGTGGAATGTCCTGTCCTCTATAACTATTACATGCAATAATTCCCGTGTTTCTATTAAATAAATAGTGGCTATATTAAATAATCCTTCCTCTCTTTCTTCTGCTTTTCATGACAGCAACACACTGAAGACTTGGATTTATAACAACTACTGGTTCTCCTACACTATGATGTAAGCCAAAACACTGTAACCATTTTGACCCTTTGCTCCTGTCATTTCTAGTGAGTAATCTTCATTAAAGCTACACTGCGTCGTGTTTAACCCAAGTATTAACCTAATCTAAAATATTTCTAATCTCATTTAATGAGCGTATAGATAATCTTGCCTAGTTGCCCTTCTTAAAAATCCGCCTGTGTTACTGTAGAGGGTTGGATCCGTCACTAAATGAGTCATACAGCCCACAAAGCCACTTCAAAGCAGTCTGAGCTCCCATTAAACCCTAGAGCTAGTTAATATAAAAGTTGCTATTTGGCAACAAAACTGATGTGACAGTTACCTGATCAGACTTTTTTTTGGTCCCTGATTTTAGGATTCAATATAGATGGGTCAATGCTGGTGTTTTTTTAAAACTAACTCCATTACTTTTTAATCTGGTTGTTCAAAGTTGCCTGCTATCAGATTCCAAAACATGGCCTGCTTCTGAATACTGCAAATAGAATAGAATAGAATAGAATAGAATAGAATAGAATAGAATAGAATAGAATAGAATAGAATAGAATAGAAATCCCTTTGTGTTATAGCAAAAATGTGTGAAAAGTGTATAAAAATAACAGAATAAGTGACAGAGTTAAGTAAAGCAACAAATAAAATACCGTGCTGTACAATGCTTATATAATATAAATACTATGTATCTGGAAAATAAAAAATCAATGTACAGCTGTGGACATTTTTACAGTAATGGATATGTGAAAATATGTGATCTATGTGAAAATATGAGAAAGTTGTGAAAAATCGATAAGAACAGAGAAGCCTATGTAGCAGAGTGGCAGCAGACACCATGAGTATTATCAAATAGAGTGGCATTTAACTTTTGAGTTTAAGTCTAGCACCCCTGGTAGCTAAACGTTACACAGTATTGTTTTAGTACTTCCATGTACCATGTAAAAACCAAACAGCCACACTATGAATTTAGCCCAATGCCTTTGTCTGTTTATAAGCTTCTTATTTGATATTTATGAAACACATTATGCTTATACAGGTCAGTGGTGCTGGTACTCATTGTGGTTTTAGCCTGCTGTGATAATATCCGTCGCCGGGTGCCCCTCAATTTTATAGCTCTGGGCACGTTTGTGAGTAGAAGCACCACCATCCAGGCAGCAAATTAAAACACCACCATCCTCGCTCTGTTTCATGTTTTTTTTTTTTCTTTTTGTGTGTTTGTGTCTCCCTTTCTCTTTCCAACTCAGACTGTTGCAGAGGGCCTGATGCTTGGATCTGTTGCAGCGTGAGTGTTTGTTTCGGAGGATAATCTCCACCTGATTCTTATTCATTTGCACTTTAATAATCCGATTTGGCCCAAATCTGATGCTTGATGCAAGGCTTGAAGGCATCGATCTAGATAACACTACCAAAAAAAAAAAGTTATAAAATCATATTTTCAGGGCTTCTGGTTGGGAATACATCAGAAGCATTGAGGGATTGAACCAGAATCTGTGGAGATGTTTTTCTTTTTGGTATACAGTCAGTTTGCTATCTATTTTTTTTTAGCTACAAGTCATTCTGTCAGACATATCAGCCCAGGAGTGATGATCTCTTATCTAGGGAAATTATCATATTTATAGAATTTTGCTAGAATTAAAGATACAGTGCCTTCAAAAGTACACATTTTGTCACATTGCAATCACAAACTTCAATGCATTTTTTCTGGATTGTATAGAGTAAACCAACACTAAGGATATGCAGGGGAAACTAATACTTTTTTTTTTTTTTACCTTCTTAAAGATTTCCATGCATTTACATTCAAAACCATTTTGTCTGATACTATCACTTATTAAAAAAAGAGGGACATATTTACTTACTAAGAAGGTATAGTTGAGTTTTATCTCAAATACCATTGTTCTTTAGAGCTTCAGAGGTTTTTCAGAAAACAGTACTGATACAGAAGACAGGTCATGGGGAGAAGTCTTCGTTGGGTCAGTTCTGAACAAAAATATCTAAACAATTCTCCTAATTTCAATCAATAATTATTCTATATCAGAAAGTGTACGGCTCAACTAAAAACTACCAAGAAAAGCTCCAAGAACTCTTGGTGAGCTAAGTTGAGATAAATTTGAGAAATATGTTTCCTGGACATAACTTTTATAGAATCTATGAATTTAGCCTGTATGAAAGGAGAGGCAAAAAAAAAAAAAAAAATGTAGGTTCTGGTTCCAATTTAAAAAAACAGCAAGCCATGGATATTAAGGATGCTCTGATTAGACAGGACCAACACTAAACTTAATGCTTTTCATGGTAAGTGATTGTTTTGTCATTGAACTGACATCATAACTGTTTAAAAATGTTCTCCACTCAGTCTGACTGAGCTGATGGACTTTTGCAAAGTGGAGTGTGCAAAAAAAGAGTATCATCTCTAAATATGGAAAGCTGTTTTTAATTGTTAAAATGTGTTTACTTACATATCATTTCTATGTACATATTAGTCTGTTGTTCTTGCAGAGAAAAAAGCACTGAAATTGTGGGTTAAATCTGGCAAAATCAGCTAAAGTTGTATCAGTTCAAAAATGATTATGAAGGTAAGCCTTACATTAAGGATTTCTCCTTTGGTTTGTGACATTATAAAGGTGGGAAAAAATTACATTTATGAACTCAATTAACATTCCATCTGATAGAGAAAGACCCCTACTGTTCAGCTAATGCTCTCTGCCTACTTACTACTTACATAAAAAGGTTCATTTCCAACATGCAACTTCTGTTTGATATTTCTGTCTGCAGCTACTTCAACGCCGAAGCAGTTATGTGGGCTGTGGGTGCGACAGCTTTCGTTACTTTTGGCATCAGCCTGTTTGCTATGCAGTCAAAGGTAAGATCAGTCACACCGTCTGGGCCTGTGTTTGCAGCACAGCCAAAAGTGACATTTAAAAAACTGCAGCAGCTTATCGTTCTCTCATAACTATCCGCACTGTGAGATGTGTTTCCGTTGCAGTCATCTGGAACATGTTGGCCAGGTTTCCTCTTCAGCACCAGCCGAGGTTTAATGCTTCGATAGGATTGCTGTCCGGGCAAAACGATGATTATTGCTGAAATCAGTGTTTATGTCAGTCTAATAATTTCTCACATCCGCCAGAGAGGCTCGGCTAAAGTCCTCTAAGCTGAGGTTTTTACAGTAAATCTGCAGTTATTTAGAAAGTCATAGCTTTAACTATAGACTGTCCAAAAATCCAGAAAAAAAAGAACTTTACAACTTTAAAAAACTTCCATCTTAATAAAGCTGTATTGATTTAAAAAAAAATGTGTGAAAGTATAAAAACAATATAAAAAATAGCTGCATAAGGGTTTTCTTTGTTGCGACGAGGATGGAAACCTAATTAAGTGTAGATTTCTTATGCTTATATAAGCATACAGTATATAGTATGTTTCTATTGTGCTCAGAAGCTGTTGAGACTTAGGTTTTTTGACTTGATTATAGGATCAGAATTCAGACATGTTAATAATTATTTATTCACTCTGGGAAGAAGTATTTAATTATACACATTTCTGCAGTAAGAATTCAGAGGCCTCAAAAAATCACATTAATTTGGTTCTACATTTCCCCAAATAATCTAGTCTTATTATTTCCTTAGCAACTGAATGACACTTCTGTTTCTGTCTCGTAGCTAAAGGCTTGAACGTTACGCAATAAATTGGAATTTAGAAAACATCTTGAAATAAATGTGTGGGTGTGCTGGTCATTTCAATTCTGTTTGCCATTTCTTACTAAACAAAGGTGTCTGCCACTCAGCCTTTTGTTATGACTCTGAATCATTTTCTACTTGTCTCTGGGTTATTTTCTGCCCACTATGACCTCTGGTGATTTCAGCTAATTTCATGTGATCTACCTCTGTTGCACTCTTTGAAAGGAGGAGCTCATTCAGCTTCATTCATCTTTGGTCAGGGGTCCTTAATTATGTCATATTTCTAAAGGCTGTGCGAAAGATCCAAATAAATGTTAATAGGTTGTAGTATAACATTTACAGAATAACAAACAGGAAAGTCAAACATGACATGCATATACTTTTATTATTATCCTTAGAACTCATCAAAATACTTATCTGTATAGCTGATAGATACAGTGATGGGTTAGAACATGGATATATAATAGTAGGAAGGGATGAAAGTATAACGTGGATCCATAATGGGGATGGGGATTGGCCAAAGGGTTTATACATAATCAAGTTAGGGTCACTTTGTTTGCATGACATAAAGTCAAATGGGTCAGGACTCAGAACGTTGGACCCAGTATTCAAGGCACAGCTGACAGTGGGATCATTCAAAAGCGTTTAATTAAAACACGGATCTGAGTAGCAGCGGCCAGGGCATTTATCTGGTTTAATGGTTCAGCCTGTGTCAGCTGAAGGTAGGATGCAGCTGGTGGGCTGCCAACGAATATCTCAGATGCTGCAGCCCCGGAGAACAGGCATTAGTCCGAAGCCAGCTAAGGCAAACCATTTAGATGGGAACAGACAGGCTCAGTGGTTGAAAGGCAGAACAGGTCAGGATCAGGTAATAAGAAACACTTAGGTAGGCTAAAAACCTTCTCATCACTGAAGTCAGATGAGAACAGGCAGGCTCAGTGGTTGAGAGGCAGAACAGGTCAGGATCAGAAAATCAGAAACACAAAGAAACTCTAACAACACTCTCACCACTGGCTTGAGAGAACGAGAATAATCTGGCACTGATAACTGGATGCAAGCTCTTTAAATAGAGGCAGGAACAGGTGGATCAGATGAGCAGTGATAAGAAACCTGGCAAAGTTAGACAGGTCAATGGAATGAATAATTAAGGAAGTGATAAGTGACAAGATCATGACATAATGGAAGAAAAGACACCCCATAACCTTTCATACTCTGTTATATAGTCTTTATACTGTAGCTTCATCTTTAAACCAGAGCAGAAATATTTAGTGATTTTATGTAAAACTTGTTTATTTCTAAACACTTCAACTGACTACATGTATTGGTGGAAATGTGGACTAATCAGTCAACAATAAATCTAGTGTATTGTTGACTGGATAATAAGGATTATAGCTATTACTATTTATAACACCCTTTCTAGGAATAGTAACTTGGTTAAAGAGCAGAAGCCTCACCATTTGGGGCATTCAATGTTGTGCAGCTGGGGTTAACACTTTTTCAAAAGTAATTAAAATTATAGCTTGGTTCAGGCATTGGCCAAATAAAAAAACAACAAATAAACAGGTAATTATGAAGACTTTAGTACAGAAATAATAGCTTGGGTATGAATTATTTGCATTCTAATTATATTTAAAGGCCCAGTGATTCCATCCAAATGCATTTTGGCATTTTATGTTCTATAATAGGAGCTCCAAATTTTTGAAATAAAAATGTGAACGTCTGTAATTATGGCTCTAAAAGTCGGTTGTAATGTGCTTTAAATGTTATCGGCTACTGTTTAGAATAAAACAATGAAGATCTAAATGAGGAGAAACACTATGTTGTAAAAAGTGACCGCCCCGTTCAGGCTATATTGGCAGAGGGAGTGGTCACAGTCACAACCACTTAAGTTTAACAACTGGTCATTCAATGTGCAGTTCTAACACCTCTTGCTCTCCAGTTCACACTCTGCAAGAAGCCTTATGATCTCTGTCACTGCAACATAAATGTCAAACAGGCCACCTCGCATGTTCAGCTCATAGCTCCTCGGGTGATCAGTGTTCTCCTACAGCGCCATCTTTTTCCTGTCCATTTGAAAAGGGCACACAGGCCAGAAGGCCATATCTACTCTCCTCCTCTGTGCCTCTGCTGCACCGGGTTGATTAATTGCTCTGGACAATTATATCCAGAACTATTAGGATGTTCTTTTTATGTGAAACTCCAGTATGTCTTTGTCATTTCACTCTCTGCAGAGCCCCCTAGCTTCACTGCAATGCAGATGGCCTTCACGATAAATGAAGGCATTCCTTTGCACAGTTTGCATTTTTTTATGTATTTTCTTTATGAGAGAGAGATGCTTACAGGATAATTTTTCCTTTTGCCTTTCCTTCTTTTCTTTCATCAGTGGGACTTCACCCCTAAAGCTGGGTGCATGTGGATGTTTGCCTGTTCCTTATTGTCCTTCTTAATGATGTGTGCCATCATCCGATCACAGGTAAACAATGCTGCATTTATGCATATTTTTAGTTAAGAAATGTTAGGGAATAAACTTTAAAATTAGAAATGTTTTATACTTCTTAATTTTTCTGCTAATTTAACTGCTACTGCAATCAAAGGTTTCCTGTAACTGTCAATGAGACTAGTTATGTACTAACTGTATGTTCAATGCCTACCCAGGTGCAGACGGCAAATATGTTATTTAATCAGATAATATTCAGACTGTCATATTGTTCTGTGTACACACACCCAACTGGCTGTTTGTTTAACTACAAATCAAAGTGTGGATTGAGATAAAATTCAAACAAATTTACAATGCAAATCCAAGGAGGTAAATTTTTTTTATTTATTTAGATGATCCACCTGGAAAAAGAACATCCTCCATATACTTTTATTGTCTCCCTATCATCAGAGGATGTAACCCTTTTAGCTGTTTTAGCTAGGTTTGGTAATTAACATAATGGATCTAGCACAAGGGTGGGCAATTCCAGTTCCTGAGGGCCGGTATCTTTCATCTTTTAGATGTGCCTTTGGTTCAACACACCTGAACCAAGTAATTAGTTGATTGAGAGGACTTGGGAGGAACTGACTGCATACTGAGGAGGTAACTCAGCCGTTTGTTTCAGGTGTGTTGGATGGTTGGATGTAAAACGTGCAGGATACTGGCCCTCAGGAACTGGAATAGCCCACCCCTGATCTAGCAGCTAAACCTGTTTAAAAGCACTCTCATGGTCATATTTTGGCAGACAAATGTTATATCACTATAACCTTCTTTTTATCATGATTTACAAAACAGTAAACACATGATCAATAATCATGAAAAACCCAAGTTGTTTAGCTTTTCATGCTTCCCCCAACTGTGCCAGACTTGTAACCTCTGTTGATCTCCTCTTTGAAAAGGGGAGATGGAAAGAGGCTTTAGGACAGCTTAGAATTTTAGTGTAGTAGCAGGAAAACTAAAATCATTACAGCTGCTCAACACTTCCAGCTGCTGGCTGAAAAAAGTTGCAGAAGTGTCTGTTTTTCATGTTACCAATGGGCCCATTTAAGTTTTGGCAGCCAGAAGGTTCTGATTCCTGCGGCCTGCGTGGCCTTCCATTAATAATGCCTCTCTGATTTGAACCTCTTCTGGAGAGAATTTTATGCCAAAAGAGGATGAGACAAGCTTTGTGTCATAGAAAGCCAATTCGGAATAGTCAAATATTTTCCTCTTAGCCATTCTTGGGTGTTATTAACCCTTTAAAGCCTGATCCAAGAATAAAACAAAACAGAAAATTACTTTTTTTTGGTTTGAATTCCTTATTTGCCCTTTTAACAAAATATGTAAAAAGAAAAAACAGAAATAAATATTTGATATTAATAATTTATTACTATGCGATAAGTCAAGATTATTTTTTGTGTACCGTAGTCTTTTAATGGCTGTTATCAGGTATATCTGATTGTGTACAATAGGATTTTGAGCAAAGCTTTTACCATTGAATTATGCAAAAGGTGTCAGATGTAAAATATTTCAGAAACTGTATGTATCAAAAACGATACATTTGGCATTATAGGGTTAAGTGTGTGTTTTGGGTCATTATCCCATTGCAAGAACCATGACGTGCAACAGAGGCCAAGCTTTCTTAAACTGGGCAGCACATTTCTCTCTTGATAATCTAGATACCAGATTTAACAAAGCAGCCCCAGAACAGAGCAGAGCCTCGTCCATGTTTCACATTAGGGACAATGTTCATTATTTTTCTATCTGTGAACATAGTGCTGGTGCACCTACGCAAAAGATTCAATTTATGTCCAGCTCTCCAATGGCCAATCTCCCAGCAGATTTTGACTTGCCAACATGGGTTTGGCAAATTATAGTTTGGCTTTTTTATGATTTGTTTCCAACAATGGTTTCCTCCTCGGTTGTCTCCCATTAAATCCACTTGGGCTCAAGCAATGTTGCGATCTGACCTTGATGTTCCTTGGGCATGAATTTCAACTTTAATCTCTTTAGGAGTTTTTCTGGGTTCTGTCATCAAGATTTATATAATCTGTCTCTTTGATTGTCCTCTGTTTTTCCCCTTTGGAGGTTGGCCTTAGATTTCTAAATAATATATGAAACTGTAGTCACAAGAACACAAAGCTACTTGGAGATGGTCTCATAGATTTTACCATTAATATGGTTGTCTAGAACTTTTTTTCTTCACTCCCTTTTATCCATGTTGAGTGTGGTACACACCATGTCACCAAACAGCCCAGTGACTACCCTGTAGCACCATAGTGTATATAGGCCCGCTGACTGTTTACAAGATTTTAGATACATGTGATGCTAATTACTGGACACACCCTAAAGTTACATTAGTAACAACAGTTTAAAAGCAGTGTCTTACTTTAATTTGTTCAATTTAGTATATCTTTTTTGACATTATTACTTTTGTCAGATTCAAGCTATTTCTGTGACCATTGTTGGTTTTTCTTTCATCAAGACAAGCTTAAAAGATCTTCTAAAGCACTGTTCAATTTATCTTCCGAATGAACTGAACAACCAAGACATTGCTGCCCACTTAATCTGTCAGGCCGTGCAAGAAGATCAGCATAAATAAAAAACTATTTTGCATGGAACTGAGTGGAGGTGATTTCATTTAGAAAGATTTCAGAATTTAATGTTCAAAAATAAAAGATGTCTCCCAGACAGCACCAGGAAACAGAAAAAAAAAATCTAAAATAGAATTTCAAATGTGTTAGACTCATTTGTGGAATTAATAATTAGAAGACATTGTCATATCAAATCTCTGCTTATTATACCTCTGATTCTTTCTTCAGTATCTCTACATCTTCTACGCCTACCTGGGAACTGTGCTGTTTTCTTTCGTAAGTAAACTCAAACCCCCGTGAAAGTAAGAGCTTGTCTGCAGCAATCAGGATCAAAAAAATCATATGAAAACATGCTTTAAAAAAAAGAGAAAGAAAGCGACATCAAAGAAGTTTTAAAGTCAAGCAAATGCATGTGGCTCAGCTTTGATCCCACAGGCCACGCATGCTGCCACTAGTGTTTGTCACAGTCCTTGATGTAACTCACACGTCTCCCTGCCCTTTAATTTCAATTATGCACTCGATAACAGCAGTGGGCTTCATTTGTACGGCTACGTCTCCTAAGTGCTTTTGGCATTAACAGCAAATGTTGTGACCCATCCGTCAGCTAGCGGAACAAACTGCAACCTGCATGCAGAGCTGAACAGGCTGTCAACAGCAAGTCACAAGTTATTTTCAACTGCACCGCTCACGCTGAAAAATAATTTCTATGTCTGTTGTTTATATGCACAGTAGCATCTCTGGGAAAATAAAAGCCTGTGTTTGTTTTTAGAGCCCAGCTAATAACTGTCCTTTTCTCTTTCATCATAAAAAAGCATGCTGCCTTCAGATGTCAGGGGTGGTACAGTTATTTGTTTCTCTGTCTCTCTGCAGTACTTGCTGCTTGATACTCAGTTGATTCTGGGGGGGAAGCACCGGAAGTACGAAATATCTCCTGAGGAGTACATCTATGCTGCCCTCAGCCTCTACTTGGACATTGTCAACTTATTCCTTCTCCTGCTACAAATCATTAACTGCTGCAATTGAATCTGATTATTCTCAAGCTTATTTAAAGAACAGTAAAAAATAATTGTTTTTATGAGAGTATTTTTTTCTCCAGGCATGTCGCAGCTATATACAAACATCAGCAGTAAATTCAAAACAAAACAATTTTAGTGCATCAGGATGTTGAAATATCCTTGAGGCTTTTAATCACTTTAAAAAAAACTTTCATTGTTCTTTTGTGTTTGTTATCAGCTTGCTTGTTAATCAATGTGTTAAAAAAAATAAAATTTAATGCTTTTTTTAAAAGAATCTTTTTAAAATTGTTTTATTTGAAGTTATAATGGGGCTTGTATTGTCATATAACCATGATAGAATTTAAAAATATGTACAATAAAAAGTGAGACGGAGCAAAAGGCATCTGAGAAAAAAACTGACATTGTTTCAGTTAAACTCCCACAATCCTGACACACACAAATGACAGTGGTGTCGGTTGCAGGAGTTTATCCTGCAACCAGAGGTCCCAATCTAGTACCTACACCAGCTCTGGCTTTCAGTGTCGTTGTGTACTTGGGCAGGACACCTGCATTGTCCACTGATTGTGGTCAGAGCTTCAGTGGCGCCAGTGTAGTTCAGCCTCGTTCTGTCATTGAGCCCCAGGGCAGTTTTGGCTACAATGTAGCTTGCCACCATCAGTGTGTGTATAAATGGGTGAATGACGCTTCGGTCGAGTCGCCTGACTTGAAAACGCACTACATAAGTACAGGCCATTCACCACTTACAAACACACCCGAAACCAAAATAGCTGACGCATCAAAAACAAGTATCAGTTATTATCTTGGACTAGTTTTCAAAATATGCTTAAAAATGACCAACTGTGGCCGATACTGACATTAATGCAGAATATATCATACATCTGCTTCATGTTAACGCCTTAAAAGGATGTCAAAGTGGTTCCAGAAAGGGCCACGTCACGTGGCTGCAGGTTTTCTTTCCAACAAAGCAATAGCAACCCAGACTCCAGTCATCTCATCAAGTGAGTCCAATCTGAACATGATGACTTGATGAGGTGACTGGAGTCTGGTGTGCAGCCACACGGCCCTTTCTGGAACCACTTTGACACCCCTGCCTTAGAAAACGGAATGGAAGCTGCTGAGAGTTTCTTTTTACTAAACATAACTGCTATAATATATCTTTGAGGATTTCCCTGTACTTCAATAATAATGATCTCAAAAAGTAGCTGAAAGAAAAATCATATTCCTGGAAAAACTTTGATTTTGAGAGGAAGTCAGATATCAGCTGCATTCCACATTCCACAAAGACAGTCATTCACATTTGCAGTGTACCTCTCAGCAGTCTGTGTGGCACTAGTGAATTGTAATAAAAGTCACTAATATTAAATGAAAGTCCTTTATTTGACAATAGACAGGAATTAATGTGGAAAGAGATGTCAGGACATGCTGCAGGTGAGGATTTGAACCTGGGAATGCTGCATGAAGACTACAGTACGGTCCTGAGACTTCAGACTTGATGCCATTTTATAGCTGCCTACACCTCAATTTAAGGTGCATTAACCCCTTTATTGTTTGATCCACTTTAAATGGACCCAATATGTTTTACTAATTTATCTGAACTCAGGTGAACTCTGGTAAGGATAAAAAGAGACGCCCTATTTGAAGTGGTTTCGGTCCGCTTCCAAACAGACTCAGGTGCTCTTAGGACTTTACAAGCCCATGTAACAGTAAATATAGCACTGAATTCATACTTATGGGTCTCATTATAAAAAGTTGTTACTGTGAAATGGAGCCTAATGCTTACGTTTCACGTTTTAAGCTAATTTTAGGGGGTTTAATTTATCAAAGATCGTGTGGGATCTATACTAGAAGTTTGAAAATGCCAAAAAGACAAAAACAGGCAAACTCAAAAGATACTTTCCATTTACCGTATTAAACCATGCACCCAAAAACAAGATAAGTTTGTTAATTTATCACAGCTGTGCTCATAGGGCTCCAACTCATGCTCATCTCACTACTCTTCCATATTTAACCATGAATGGTGCAAAGCACCAAATGCACCTCATTGTGTATTTACAGTAAATGAGCCAGCTGGTCAGTGTAATTTCATGGTCAACAAAGGCAACCGCTGCCAAGAGGGTGAAAAAAACAGTTTAACCTGGGCAGAAATAGATATGTTTGGTAGCCATAGTAGAGGCATGGCAAATAAAAGGCAGTATAATTAAAGGCAACAGCGTCTGACTCATGGACTATTAACGATAACATCCAAGTCAGCAGGCAGTAGTGTGCTTTGTTCTGGCTGGGATATCTCAGCTTTATGTTTAAATTCACAGAACTATTCTGTTTCTAGAAGTTGCTTCAGGCAGAACGTTATTAACTTGTTAATTATGTTTAATCACCATGGGGGAATTCACTCTCACAAGAGCTAGACACCACAGGATGGTTAACAGCTGTAATTAATTAATAAACACTTGAAAAAAGAGGAAAATCTGGATAAGCTGACCACCAAGCTACCAGTAAGACTTTATAAGGGCAAATACTTCTGCATCAGCTGATTATAGCTATAGATAGTTCCTAATCTCTCATAAATTACCTGCTTCATATGAATAAAACATATGAAATTGTTTAAAATTGAGTTTTGGAATATCTATTATTGTGGTTGAATTATTATTTGTCCTTGTGGATCTAAAAAAACAGTGATATAAAGTAATCAGTAATATGAAACTGTTATTAAAAAAAAGTCTGATCCCATCACTGTTCTCTAAATAAATGTTACAGAAATCCTTTTTCCAAACACGGAGCAGATGGGATTATTTCATGAAAACAAATTCATGTTAAATGACTTTAAAAAAGAAAAGAAGCAAAATGAGTTACACTCACCGGCCACTTTATTAGGTACCCCATGCTAGTAACGGGTTGGACCCCCTTTTGCCTTCAGAACTGCCTCAATTCTTTGTGGCATAGATTCAACAAGGTGCTGGAAGCAT